CTCTCCAATGAGATTACAACTTCTCAACACCCTGTAATGCAATCACAACAATTCTCCATTATTTTAGTTAGCAGATATAAATCCCAGAAATTTAATCAATCTCTCTGCCTTTTTGCAGAGTTTTACTTACAGAATTTCCAAATTCGACAAATTACTAAGTCGTGGAAAAGTTGCCTCAGATCCGTTCAAGTAGCTGATTATCCTGTAAACAAAATATTCAACAAAGTCCCAACTTATAATATCTATATCTATATATATATATATATATATATAATGAAATCTTAGATTCATCGCTTACAATTCTTTTAAGCTTCCTAAGGAATCAATGTCCGGAATTGGTCCACTCAGACCACTTGCAACGATATGTCTGTTGTTACCAAAGTTGGATTCATGTAAATGATTAATAAAGGTCTAATGAAAAAAATTAAATTATATATTGTTCTCACATTTGTTCAATATTTTTCCAGTTCTGGAATATGGATGGAATCTTTCCTGTGAAGTTGTTGTCACCAATCCGACTATTGCGAAAAACAAAACAATCATGATTAGCAAGAAAACAAGTTAAGGATGAGCATGGTCCGGGAATCTTACAATTCCTTCAATGTAGTCAGCCTAGCAAGTGTTTGAGGCAATTCACCAGTAAAATTGTTGGAATTGAGAAACCTGCAAATCAAATCAACAACTTAACAACTCCAAAAACGAAACATATATTGAAACAAAAAGGTTAAGAAAAAAAACAATAATCTACTCACAGTCTCTCAATTCTGGGTAGATTCCCTAGTTCAGCAGGCAAATTTCCTGAGAAGTGGTTGTGCTCGAGGACTCTACACAAATTTTTAAAAGAATTGACGATTAATTCATCCATTAGGCATTCATAAAAGAATCTTGTGAACAATTTGATCATATATAAACGAATTCAGAAGTGTTAGACTACAATTGGCATGTATATAGAGAGCAACTCACAAGCTGGTTAGATTGCTTAGGTTTGCCAGCTCTTGTGGGATTGAACCTGTTAAACGATTTCCGAGAAGAGAACTGCAGTTTCGTGTTTATTTATCCAACAATCAGGAAAATAATTAATCCAAATGTCTTTAAATTGATAGTTCATATTATCGGTAGATAGGGGTGAGTAAAACTCGATTTTACTCGAAAAAACGATTTTTTTCAATTCAACTTGAAAAAATTCGACTCGAATTGACTTCGAATTTTAATTTAATAAACTTAAAACGACTCGAAAAAAATTTCAAATTCAAATCGAGTTGTAAAATACAACTCGAATAACTCGAAATTTTTAATAATTAGTAAATTGATTTTCAAGTTTTAGTTGAAGTTTGAGTCTTGTCCCTCAACTTCATATGATATATGTAAATCACATGTGTAAAATATAATATATATATATACGTGTGTATTGTATATGGTTATAAAATATCATTTAAATTGAATCAAATAAAGAAAAAAAATGGAATCAAATAATGTCATAATATTGTAAATATTCACAACTAAATTTAAATAGAAACTCAAAAATTTGACTCGACTCCAATCGAAAAAATTTCAAGTCAACTCCGAGTTGTAAAATAAGACTCGTCAACTCGAATAACTAAAAAAATTTACTCAACTTGACTCGATTCGATCCTAAATATGTGTAAAACTAAAAAGTTTTACATTATGTAAATACATCCTAATCCTAATTATAATATAAATTATAAAATATATTTATAAATATTACATGTAAATTCAATTATAAAATATATTAGGTACGAACCTAAGATCTCTAGGGTAAACAACACTCTCTTTTGCTACTTAGATCACTTGTTGGGTTCCAAGATTCTAGTTTCAAATTTCAGTTTTAATATTAATTTTCATCTTATTTTGTATTATTTAAATGTCATGTATTTTAAATCAATAATTAGAATAAATATTTTTATTTTGAATATTTAAATACAAACCTCCTAAAAGTTGGATGAATATTTTACCCTGTTTTATACCCAAGTTATTATCTGACTTTAGTTGTTTGTATTTAAATAAATGTTTATTTAAATGGAAAAGTAAATTATTTTGAGGATATATTTAATTAATAATTAACAAAATCATACATTTTGACGAGTTGTAGCATAGAACCCCATTGGCGTGGAATGGTGCCACTAAGATAATTGCGAGTGAGATCACTGTAGAAAAACAATTAGTGAAATTACAATATTAACAAATAATATAATTAATTGATTAATTATAAATTATTTGAAAATAAGAGAAAGGTACTTACATTTCCTGGAGGTAAGGGAGGCTGACCAATTCCGGTGGGAGACTACCCGATAGGTTTTGTCCTTTCAGCACTCTGTTTATTGTCAATATATATATATATGAAATATTATGATATGTTGTTAAAAATATTAAAAAAATTATTTAATCCTAATTTATTGATTTAATTTGATAAAAATTTAAAAAGAATTTGTAGGGTATTGAGTTGAGTGAACAGTTGGGAACTCTGTAAGTGCTTGGGCGATCTATTTATTAATTGGATAAAATACACAAACGGTCCCTTAATTATAGGGTATTACTTTGTTGAGTCGTATGATTATTAAAAGTTATAAGATGATCCTTTGACTATAAGACAATGTTTTGTTGAGTCCTCCGACTATTAAAAGATACAAAATGGTCACTTGACTATTCGTATGTTCCAAACTCCTCTTTTTCGATAAAAAAATTATCGACCATTTGAGATTAATATTAACCTTTTGACTGAGATATTATAAAATATGATCCCAAGATTATTTTAGTTGTATTTTGTGGATTGATTAATATTTGTTTATATTATGTTGTCGAGTCAGTGCTTGAAACATTATGATGGAAAGCCAGTACATGAAAGTTACGATGGTGCCAGTAGACATCATTAAAATATGATTTTATCATATCTCATTTGGTATGTTAACATCCACCTCAGATAAACGTCAATTTTTTAACGAAAAAGGACGATTTTAGAACATATGAATAGTAGTGTGACAATTTTGTAACTTTTAATAGTCAGAAGACTCAATGAAGCATCGTCTTATAGTCAGAAGACTATTTTATAACTTTTAATAATAAAAGGACTAAACAAAACAATATCATATAATCGAGGACCATTTATGTACTTCACCCTTATTATTTTGAACATGAAAGGTTATTGTTATGTGGGTGGTAACTCACCAGAAATGGGCAAGGGGGAGGTTGGCCTGGCTATACCCTCTATAAATTTTTATATATTTTTTTATTAATAATCTATTTTCGTTTCCAATGAGTACGTAGGTGTTGTCTATTGTGGACACGTGCTTATCTTGACATTTGAATTCTTTTATGTTAGTTGTGTATTTTACTGATAACGTCTTCTATAAAAGTTTATTTGTGCTAACCTCATACGAATAATTTATAATAATAATATATAGAGTCCACTGTCTATCCTTAAAAAATATTTTTAAATCTACGAGAGAAAGAGCTGCTTACATGCCGACGATATGGCAGGTGTTGTTGATGGAGCAGTCATCGCAGCTAACATTCTTAACAATATATTCCCATCTTGTGGGCTCTCTCCAACTCTCGTCTCCGTTTGAGCAAGGATCGATCCCCGACCCGAAATTCCAGTTTGTTCCCAATTTGCTACCTATGCTTTTCAAAGCTTCCACTACACATGTGAAAAATAAAGTATTAATCAATTACAAAGGCCAAAAAGGAGCAGTTTGATGGGTCAAAACTCTACATAATTATTGAATACCTTCGTCTCTTGCAAGTGTAGCTCCCCGAGTTGAAGTTGCAAGACAACAAGCAACGAAGATCCAAGCAAAAACTGGCGTGCGAGGAAGAAACATTCTGGAACGTTGAAGAGATTCAATTAACAGACGAGCACAAAGATTTAAATACGACAATTCCCATGAAATTGTGGAAGTTTTTGAACAAGCAAATATGATATTCTGATATTATATACATCTCTATTAATAGGAGTAAAGGAAGCGAAAGCCACTTGTGTTTTAAGTCGAGAAAAGTCCATCTTTGCGATAAGGATAGAGGTCTCGTCTGAAATTTTAAAATTATCATATATTTTAAATTTTTTCTATATATTTTTTTTATTAAAAATCTATTTTTACTCTCTCTAAAATTTTATAAGTTTAAGTATGTCCCTTTAAATATTACGGTTTATATTTACCCCTTAACGTAAAATCTTGTGTCCATCTCTACCTATAACTATTGGTAGTTTGTTTGACTTGTAGTTACGATGATATACGATAGCAAGTTGCATGAAATCATGTCCACTCGTTTAGTGATAGAAACTGAAGCCGTAGATTCATCTGATTTGAGGAAATGGAAAAACTTTATTGGCTGCATGGAGTAGACCAAGGTTCAAAGTTCGTAGTTCATTTATTTTTCATTTAAAAGTTGTCTGCTACGTGCTTTCTTGGTCGACTTTTGTTTGGCTTTTTTTGTGTGTGTGTGAAAGAGAACAAGAGAGCGTTAGGCAAAAGCAAATTAAAAAAAAAAAAACTAAGATTAAATTACACGTTTAATATCTAAACTATCAATTGTGATCTATTTTAGTACTTGAATTTTTAATTTTTTTAAAATCATACCTAACGTTTAGTTTTTGTTTCATTTTAGTACACCGTTAAAAACTTAAAGTTAAATTTTGGGGGAAAAAAAGAAATTTTAGATATTAAAATGAACCAAAACTAATTGTTTAAGTACTAAATGCATTAAGTTTTTAATGGCATATATTAAAATAAAGCAAAAACTAAACATTAGGTATGATTTAAAAAAAAATTAGATACTAAAACTGACCAAAACTAATAATTTAGATATTAAACACGTAGTTTATCCAAAAATCTATAAAAAATTATTTTAAATTATTCTTTAAAATTTGATCTTCATTTTTTTTCCTTTTAACTTTTAAGAATAAACAAATAGAAAAAATAGGAAAAAAATTAAAGTCTTATACAACACTTTTGTAGCCTTGTAGATACAAAAACGAAAAATACAATTTGCATAAAACCAGTTTGCTATATCGACAATTTATATTTTGCTTTTTAGCAAATTTTTACTGCAACTCGTCCCCTTTTCTTTTGTTTTCTAACTTACATTAACAGACAGCAACATCTCAGTTCATTTCCATCAACATTGAAGAGAACGGGGTTAATTTGCCGAGTCTCGGTTCTGCCAATACTCGGAAGTTGTAGTGACTGGATAAAGATCAGCAGTTGATGATGAGGAAGAAATCCATGGCCCAACTGCTGACATACTGTGTGTCTGGCTTTCAGGGGCACTCTTTTCTTCAAGGTGCTGGTAAAGCTTCTTCGCCATTGCCTTTGAGTCCGATCTGTCCGCGAAACGGCTCGATTCCGTTTCGATTTCCTGAACCGAAGCCTTCCCTTCGAGCATGCTGACCACAGAGGACATTGCAGGCCTTGCCGCCGCGTTAACATCGGTGCATAAAAGTGCCACGTTGATCATTGACGCTACTTGCTCTTTTTTGTAGTTATGACCGATTCTTGGATCGACCATGTCCGGTAGTTTCCCTTCCTCCTTTAAAACATGAACCTGCAAAAACAATTGGAAAAAGTTGAATTGAAATGAAATTGTATCCAAGATTTTTAGTCTGTGGTTGAGAACGTTACCCAATCAAGAAGATAGAAGCATTCGTCCTTCGAACGATAGCTCGTGTTGGCCCTTCCGCTGACGATCTCGAGTATCACGATCCCGAAGCTATAAACATCAGCTTTGTCGGTTAAATAACCGCGCATTGCATATTCAGGAGCCATGTAGCCACTGCAAAGTTAGAGAAATTACTTCAGTATGTGAAACAATGAAATTCTTTGCATCGAAGTTTTGTATCAGTTTGCATGTTGATCGGTTTGATGCTTACTATGTTCCGGCGACTCGGGTGCTAATGTGAGTGTTATCCTCTTCATCAAGCTTGGCTAATCCGAAATCTGATATCTTAGGGTTTAATTTCTTGTCGAGCAAGACATTTGTAGCCTTGATGTCTCTATGAACAATCTTCAACCTTGATTCTTCATGTAGATATGCCAAACCTCTAGCTATTCCGATGCAGATTTTCCGTCTCGTTGGCCAGTCTAATTTCAATTGGCATTCTTGTGGACCTTAAAATAACCAGATAAACAATAATTCAGACATGTTTTGCTTATTTATACACAATACGTACATGAATAGATTCAAAACTAGGAAATCGAGTGGCTAAAGCGTACCGAACAGTGCTCGAGCAAGGCTGTTGTTTTCCATGTACTCATAGATCAGCAACAGTTGATTTCCTTCTATGCAACAACCAAATAGCTTTACCAGATGAGGGTGTTGCAGAGCAGAAATCATTCCTATTTCATTCACAAACTCTCGATTCCCTTGTTTCGATTTGGCTGATAGTTGCTTAACAGCTACAACTGTGCCATCTGCCAGAATACCCTGCATACAAGATGTTTTATCGGCTTAAATGTTCCGAGTGGAAGTAACAAGAAGAAAGCATTTGTGGCTGACAATAACCTTGTAAACGGGACCAAAGCCGCCTTCTCCGATTTTATTAGCAACATCAAAGTTATTTGTAGCAGATTTGATTTGCCTCAAACTAAAGGAACCAGTCTGCAAGTCTAGACCTTGTAAGTCTGTAGTAATGAAGCAAAGCAGGATTAGGACCTTTTATATGACAGCTTCTGTAGCCTCTGATTTCACTACAAATACCTCTTTCCAATTGGCTTTTTGGTCTTAAACAGCCTTTCCACCAAAGTAATGCCCCAACCAGAAAGATGACAAACACTGATCCAGCTGAGATTCCGACCAATGCACCTACCGATATACCGCCGCTACTACCACCATCTTCTGCTGGAGGTATAAAATCTGCTTGAACAAAATTGTACAGGAGTTACAAATGATAGGATGACTGATGACATTTCTTCCGGAATGTCGAACCGGATACTGTGAAGAATATGTAGTTGAGAACAATGTTAAAACATTTTACGACGTACCGGGATTCACGGATATAGCTGATATAAGAGGACCATAAACTCCTCTAACAGGAATGGCAGTCGTCCCTTTTCCAGCCCAATGAAGGCGGATCTCCAAAGTACTATTAGTCACCATCGCAGGAAATTTCTTTACGACCGCCTTACCGACTCCACCTGCTTCTTCCGCAATGTTAAAATCCTTCTGCACCAGCTTTCCCTGCAAATAGCTAGCTCCGGTTAACTCAAAATTTCGCTGAAATCCGAAAGCTCCTCATATTGTAATGAATAACTACCTGGAGATAAATGTCAAATATGCGCCTTCCTAAGCTGCTATATGTTTTGTCATTAGTGAACGTAATCTCCGCAAAATGGAGGTTGACTGTGTAGTTCCCATTGCCCATACAAAGTCCATAGTAAGTCAAAGAAATGGGAGAAAGGCGTGCATTCATGTATAGTCTGGAATCATTCATGGAGAGTTTCGATGAATTCGTCCCAATATAAGCGTCCGATGGACGGTCATCATCCAAGAAGTGACCAGTGCTGCTGAACGCCCAGTTAGATCTGCTTTGGTAAAATCTTGATGCCCCGGCTCCATCTGCATCATCTTCATATGTGGTATTACCTCCAATAACTACTTCTCTCCCACCACAATTTATATGGAGAGAGTACCAGGCTGAGACACGAGAAACAAAAGATCAAAAACTGCCAGAGTTTCATGAAACAATTTAACATTGTTAAGATCTATAAAAGTTTCTGCTTACATTTTGGGCAAACAAAGCTTCTCAAGCAAGAAACAGCTCCCCTGTTTGAACAATAAAAAGGTCCAGAGAAATGTCATCATGTTGACAAGAAGGAGAAATAAAAGAAGTCATCACTTACGAGGTATTGCTACTTGAAGTGCTTGCAAACAGATTCCTGAAGGAAAATTTACAGATGCAAAGTTATGGCTGATAAACAAAACATGCACAATTAAAAGTAATGAATATGAGATTCGTACACACTCCGCTGTTGACAAGATGTCCCTTGGCTCGCATCGAAATTGTTATACGAAAGATCACTGCACCAATATTAGGCTTTTGAATGTTATCATTTCGTAAACAATCTACTAAGATCATAAAGAAGACATTTACAAGAGAATCTAATAATTTCCCATTGCATGAACCAATTTTTTGGAAGAGAATCTTACACATTGTCTCCTTTTTCCAGTATCCAACTAGGTACTGAACCAGTAAGCAAGTTTCTTGTTAAATACCTGTTCGAAATGATAACATAATGAAATCGAATACACTGCATAATATATTGATATTGAATGATTCGCCATTTATAGCTCCTAATTAAGTAACTATACTCATGGTATCAGCAAGAACAGCATTACAGGAAATGTGAGGAAAACCAACAATCATATCAATCACTTACAAGTAATCCACATCCATAAGGCCAGAAAAACTGCTCGGAATTTCTCCGCTGAGTTTGTTAAAGCTGAGATCTCTGCATAACGGAAACAAAAAAGTTATGAAATTAAAGAAAGACTAAATATTTCTGAGAATCACAGTGAAAATCTTTGTTAACAATGTGCAAACTACAGGTTTATGACTCACAAGGTCTTCAACTTTGTCATATCCCCAAGATAATCAGGTAGCTTTCCGATGAGATTGCAACTCCTCAATATCCTGTAATTCAACATAAGCCTCTGTTATTTCATGTATTGATATATTTGTTTTGATTGAATCTTCTTCATTTTGGAGTTTTACTTACAGTATCTTCAGTTTCTTCATGCTACTAAGGGGTGGAAAAGTTGCATCAGTTCCATTCAAGTCACTGATTCTCCTGTTTATCAACAATTTTCATGAGCATATAAATCATAATAGAACTGAAATGTTCTAATTTGTAGGTTTGAAGAATATTAAAATCAATATCGAACTTACAGGTCAGTTAACTTTTCGAGATCACTAATGCCTGATGGAATTGGTCCCATCAGACCACTTGCCTGTATTGCTCTGTCATTACCAACATTCGATTTAGGTAAGTAAATGATCAAGAAAGGTCATGATTAATAAACTACTGTTCTAAAGGGGTCAGCTTACAGTTTTTCAAGTTTTGTCCAATTCTGGATGTAGCTAGGAAACTGTCCAGTGAACTGGTTATCGCTAATCCGACTGTCGAGAATCCCGAAACGATCAGAACCCGAATCATAATATAGAACTTGAACTAAATCTTGATAAATATTAAAAAATAAAATCTTACAAATCTTTCAATGTGGTCAACTTGGCAAATGTTTCAGGTACTTCACCGGTAAAATTGTTAGAGCTAAGAAGCCTAAACACCGATAACAACAATGAATTATGAAGAAACAGATAAACTAGACCATGAAGAAGACTCAGGCATTTAATCAAACATCAAAGCAGTAATAAACAAAAATCTTATGAACATCTAAAGATCAAGACTCGTACATTCTTTCAATCACAGGTAGATTCCCAAGCTCCGGAGGCAAAGGTCCTGAAAGCTGATTGAACTCAGTTGTTCTACATGATATTTTTTTTTCATAATTAAAACTGAGTCAGCTGATATTGATAAAAAGTACCCTACACTATAAATAGCCATATTCAAGGGAAAAAAATACTCACAAGCTGGTAAGAGTACTTATATTTCCTAGCTCTTTCGGGATTCGACCTGCTAAACGATTTCCAAGAAGAGAACTGCAAAGAACCATCATGTTAATTTCACCATGGTAAAAAAGTTGTGCATGTGGTGCATCATAACATGAACATGGAATATAATAGAACATACATGTTGACAAGTTGCATGGAACCCCACTCTGGGGGTATTGTGCCATTAAGGAAGTTGCGGCTGAGATCACTGCAACAAGATTAACAGTTTTTAATTATGTTCTGTAAGAAGGAATTTCCATGGTGATGACAAGAGTTTGGACTTACATTTCTTGAAGGAAAGTGAACTTAGCCAAATCTTTTGGGAGGCTGCCTTGGAGATTCTGTGCCTTAAGAACTCTGTTTCAATAGAAAATTGCATTGAGACTAACTGTCATTGAAATGATAATGACAGATCTTTTGGAAGGGATTAGTGGCTGCTCAAAGATTGAATCTTGGAGCATCGTCTAGTAGCGTGAACTCTTTTCAGACAATGGACGTTTCGGACTTTATTTTATTTATTTTACTTTAACTATCTATATATTTATATATGTAATTTGGGATATTATACTTTTATCTTATTTGGACTTCTAACTCATATTATAATATATATATATATATATATGAACTCTTATTACTGTTTACGGATTTAAATTGATTTTATATCTATGTATGTTATAATTTAAGAATTTTCATGATTTCTATTAATATGAATTGGTCTAGTCTCTAAAATTCGGTAGTAACGTCTAAGTCGGGTATAAGGTGTTACAATTTGATCCTTATGTTGTTAAATTGCTATGCATGCAGGGATGAGCCAAGGGGGTGTTAGGGGTGCGGTTTATTCTAAAGACTTTCAATCATTCGACAATAAATACTTAAATACTCTTGGAGTCTCTGGTGTTCAAACCTAAAACCTCTTTAATCACTTAAATAACTTGATTCTCGTACTAAAATAATAGATTTAAAATTCAAAGTCTTTACCATAAAATATAAAATCTTTTTACCAAACTATAGATATATAATTCATTGAATTTTAATTGTGTACTTGAGTTGACCGTTTACTATATGTAAATATGGACGCCGAAATAAGTTCACTCTTAGCCAATATCAATAAAATAACAACCCACAGACACATAAGCTTAGACCCACATCATGACTTTTGCGAAGACTAGTTATCTTTTACATTTTTTATAATTATTATATTTAATTTATTTATTTATTAATTTAAATTAAATATCATTAAGAATTATTATAAAAAAATTTAATATTATTTTTTCATTCACAATGTCATGATTTTATTTAAAAAATTCCAATATATCATTTCTTGAGATTAAATATTAATTATTTATTTTTAACTATAAATGATATTATACTTTAAAATTCAATGCATGTAGAAAATCTACACACATAAAAAATCAAATACAGTATTGTCATAATTTTGATTCTATGTCTTGTCTCTTTTATTTGTCCCGTATATTGATAAATTAAGTATGAGAGTATTTTAATTCGATTAAATATTTTTTATTAATTTACATTGTTTATAAGTGATAATATATATTTTAAAGATATTTAAATATTTTATAATTTATGGTGCTCAAACTTACGATATATATGAATAACAATAATTTATTTAACCAATGATGGAACTTGATTCCTGCGATTCAATTGAATATTTAAAGTCACCTAATCTCATATATTATTATATTTAGAAGATGATTCTAATTTTATCTTTTAAAAAATTATAAAAATATCATTGAGTTTTATTAAAAAATAATTAATAAATTTATTAAATAATATTTAATAATCGAAATAGTTATTTAAAAACAAATTAATGTTTTTAATATATTTTATTCTTTATTTTAAAATCTTTCTCGACTTTTATATGTAAAAGAATATATTCTCATATTTGATAGGGACTAAAGCATGAGTGAGACAGCTTTAGGTATAATAAGATGGGCGAATGGGAGGGATCAAAGTCAACACAAGTGTGCTTCAAGTACTGTTTGTCATTTGTCATTTAAAGAGGTACGCAACAACTTGCCCTGCCTTTGTTTGATTTCTTATTTTAAATTATATTTTTAATATTACCTTAATCACAAGCTTTACAGTTAATAAAGATGAAAGCACACGATAACAAAAAACAACTTTTTTTAATACAAGGAAACATTTGAAAGAAAATCATTCAAATGCTCGTGGATGAAATTAAAACATTCAAAAGTTTGAGGAGCAATATAAAATGAGGGTCATAGATTAAGGATGAGTTTAAAACGTTCAAAAGTCTGGGATTAATTTAAAATGGGAGCCATAATTTAGAACTGAAATTCAAGTATTTAAAAAAATGAGAATCAATTTAAAATAAGAATCCTAATTTGAGAATGTGTAGTGTAATTAACTGGTTAAATAATAGTTTTCTTTTAAAACAAAAATAAGTCTCACGTCTAAAATTAGAATTTAACACATCTAGCAAAATATTTTTATAAAATTAGAGTTTAAATTATATATATATGCAATATGAATTTATACTTAATGTAAAATTAAGAATTTTACACATTTTAAGGACTATTATAAGAGAAAAAGTAAATAATAAAATTAACAGTAAGAAATGAGAAGATATTAACTGAAAAAATAAAGAGTTAAACTTCACCTTTAATTTCTCTCAATTAAGTGATACTAAAAAGTGTAAAACTATTAATTTTACAATGTGTGCAAATTAATCCTAACTCATATATATATATATATATATATATATATTACCCTAAATGATTCACTTATACAATATAAAATTCTTTAGTTTTATATAGATTTAAGACTGTTGGATGAGTGAGATTGACTCCTTATATTTTTTCTGATTAATATCTTCTCATTTTCTACTGTTAATATCAATCATCTATTTTCACTCATCACATGATCCTTTCTCAATCTCAATGTACAAAAAAATATCCTATCTCCTTACCGTCCTGTCTCTCTCATATGTATATATGTGTATGTATGTACATTAATTAGAAGAATAATATTATAATGGGTTTTTGTGATGCTTGATTTCGATTAATAAATATAATATCAATAATTATAGAAAAAGAAAAAATGAGGTGGAAAACGAGAGAGGCAGGAAGAACATACATGCTAACGACATGGCAGACTGTGTCATTGCCATTGGAGAAGGAGCAATTACAGGTGACGGAATTCTCAAATCCCTTCACGGGATTGGCCGTACTCCACCCTTCTTCTCCACCGCACGGATCCACGCCGAAGTTCCAGTCATTCTTCCCCAGCGTCTTTCCTATGTCTTTCAAATATTGCACTGAAACAAAAACCCACCATCAATCCGTCACTCAAAACAAAAACTAAAAACAGAAGAAAAAAAACCCCATCACAACAATACCTTCATTATCTATAAGTGTCGCTCCAAACACAAATCCCGAAAGGCAACAAGCAAGAGAGATTGAAGCTAGAACAAGTCGAGAAACAACCATTTTTTTTCCTTTTTGTTCTTCTGGAGAAAATGAATGAATTACATCTAAATGCAACACATAGTTTTATATCGTACGAAAAGGGAGCTTTGGGGTTGGTTCTAGTTTTGAAGATAAAGAAAGGTGACCTTAAACAGGACTCATAGATTGAGATCAACCAAGTCAACCATTATTGTAAGCTTCTGTAGGACTATAAACAACAAACTGTCCCATCAGTTGAATAATAATAACGTGAGGACCAAGTTGCATAAAAAAATATAGAGGTGAATTGATAATCCGCCATTGATAAGGATGTGCACTCAACCCATGTGTCTGCATGCTTTTGTGTATATATCTGCATGTTTGTTTTATATGATTTTGTTTTTAATATAAAGGCCTCGAGATCTGTAAGTATTAATATGAGGTGGAGAATTAGAGAAATAGGCGAGAGAAATATCATGGTATCGGTAATGGCCTTTTTAACTTTCTGGGAAAATTTTAAAGAAGAATATTTTCATCCTATTCAATATTTTGTAAAGGATAAGGATAAAAAAATCTCTTCATCTTAGTTGAAAGATATTATACGTTCAAATACTCTCAAAATCACATGTTATCTATAAATTATTATAATAATGTTTTTATTAAATTAAGATTTAATTACGGTGCACAAACCAATTTACTTCAAATTGTTGTTTTTAGAGGTCACAAGTTCGAGCACCGACGGCTGCAACATGGTGATCGAGCGTTCATTGTCAAACAATTGAGAGTGTTTAGAACATATACTACTTTATAATCACCTTAGCTTAATAAAAAAAATTAATTATTGTACGAACTAAATTATTTCAGTAATTAAATGAATGATTGTTATTCTTAAAGGTTTTGAGTTCGAACACCGACGACTTCAGAACATATACTACTTTGTAATAACTTTATCTTAATAAAATAATTAATTATTCACCATTTTAAATTTAATAAGTAACCCAAGACAAATTAAAGGTGGCTAAAGGTTTTCTAATCGGGGTTGAATCTTGCTGCCACTAATTTTTAATATTTGAGGTTTTTTTTGTATTAATAGACTATTAAATCTTAATGCCAATAATTTTTTCGATTAAGTTAAGGTGATTATATATTATTATCTGTTCTAACTTTTAAATATTCTCTATTATTTGATAATAAACACTCCATCGTTCTTATTGCAGTCGTTAGTGTTTGAATTTGAGATATCTACGAATAACAATTTCTATGTTTTTAATTAAATTAGAATACGAATTATTAATTATAATAATTGAAGTTAAACTTATTCAAATCTAAGCTTTTATCTAAATAATACTACTATTTAATAGATTATTTATTAAATTTTATACTAAAAGTCAACTATAATATCAAAATGATACACATTTGTTGACCATGAGTGCCTGCAAAACTAAGTGAGTAAGTAGCTTGAACAAAGAACTAATTGAGAAATTAACAATTGCTTATAATACAAAGAAAAACAACCTCTAAAGAATTCATGCAAGTGTTTGATTCAGCCCATTGAAACTCGCAGCTAAGGAAACAATCAATAACCAAAATCCGTTATGTTTGGGTTAATGAAATATTAATTTTATTGGTTTTATTGTTATTAAAATATTTAAAAAAATTATAAATTTATATATATATATATATATATATATAGTGAATTAATCATTGGTATCCGATCTATTGACTGACAATCTAGTTCGGGTACGCAGAGGTGAGGGCGACCCTCCCAACCCAGTTTGCTCCATTCGCAAACGCCATGATTCGAACCACTGACCTTACCTAAGAGACTTAATGCCTCTTCTCACTAGATCAACTGGTTGTTGATAATTTAAATATATTTTTAAATTACAAGGTTTTTTTATATATAAATACACAAAACAAAAGCAAACAAAAGAGCGTTGGCTTTTCCCAATGATTTGCTGGCGACAGCTACTTGTTTGCTTAAAGCTGATGATCAACTTAACATCGCATACCAAACTTGCTAGGTAGTTGCGGTAATGTATTTAGGGAATGAAAATTAAATATGTATCTTCATACGAAATCATAGGATGATATGAAGGGTAAATTACATGTTTAGTACTAAAACTATCAGTTTTCGTTCATTTTAGTATCTAAATTTTTAAAATCATATATAAAGTTTAGTTTTTGTTTCATTTTAGTTGCCCAAAATTTAACTTCAAGTTTTTTTTTGAAAAAATTTGAAAGTTTAGGTACTAAATTATACCAAAATTGATGGTTTAGGTACTAAACGTATTAAGTTTTTAACAGTGGGATACTAAAATGAAAAAGAAACTAAACATTAAATATGGTTTTGAAAAAAATTAAAAGTTTAGGAACTAAAACAAAATGATATAAACATGAATAAGAAAATTTCGATACCAACTAATAGTTTAAGTACTAAATGTGTATTTTACTCTAATATAATCAAACTATAATACCTTCATTATCTCATACTTATATAACCATGAATAAGAAAGTTATATATTTCTTATGTCCCATTCAAATTATTTTTTATTAATTTTTTAACTTTGATTGATTATTATTTAAAAATTTATTATTAATAAAAATATGAAAAATATATTTTAGAAATCTTTAATCATGTAGTTTTGAAATATATATGTAATAAAATTTAATTTTCAAAATATTTAAAATAATAATGGTCAAAGTGAAAATTTTTTATTTTTAAAAAGTAAAAAAAGGACATTTTTAGTAGGACAGATGTATTAGTAGTTATTTCATAAAAAAAGTTATACAGTAATGCACGAACCAATCTATCTCAATGGTTAAAGGGATGATTGTTATCTTTCAAGGTCTCAGGTTTGAGCACTAGTGTCTATAGAGATGTTTGAACATTCATTGTCAAATGATTTAGAATCAAATTAGTCTCCAATGTTAGAATAAATAATCAATTGAGACTCTATTTTTTTAACAGTTTTAGTCTCCATTATTTTATTTTTTTAGTCAAAATAGCTCATAATAAATTGAAATCATTAGTTAACTAACGGTCAACACATGTTGATATGTCATTTCGTATGTATTAAATTGTTTAATAATTAAACAGTTGTGAAAATATCACATGAACAACATGTGTGTTGACAGTCAGTTAAGTAACAATTTTTATCCAATTGAGAGTATATTTTGATAAAATAAAATAAAATACTAAAGACTAAAATACTCAAAAATTAAAAAAAATAAGAGTTAAAATGACTATTTTTACAAACATTAAAATCAATTTTGTAGACTGATATTAGAAATTATTATTTTTATCTTATATTTTTTTTCTAATTTTAGACCAATTAAATGTTAGCTTTACTTTATTTTTAGCAGAGGTTATAAATTTCAAGAATGTTTTGGTATTTTTCAATGCAAATGTTGGTGAACATGTGAGTAGCTTAGACAAGTGAGATCTATATAAATGTAATTGACTTTGACTGCCCCATATATCAACGGCCAGGACTGCCGATACCGGTTACGGATCTTGGAATTTGTTTTTGAAGGACAACTAAGATTACATCTATTTTTTTCTTTTATCCCATTAAAATTTTCTATTATTAATTATTAATTTTTTTTTTTACTCGTCATTATTTAAAATTTATTATTATTATTATTAATATTATTGAATTAATTATTGATATACGATCTATTTGCCGATTAATCTAGATCAGGTATTGTAGAGGCGAAAGTGAACCTTTCAACCCAGTCCAGGATTCGAACTCCTGACATTGTTTAAGATATCTAGTGTCTTATCCCATTAGACCAACTGCTTGTTGGTATTTAAAATTTATTATTAATAAAAGTATAAAAAATATATTTTAAAAACCTTTGATCAAATAGTTTTTAGATATATATTTTATAAAATTTAATAGTTTAAAATATTTAAAATAATTATGGTTAAAGTTTAAAATTTTTGACTTTTTGAAAGCCAATAATAAATTTTTTTAGTGGGACAGAGAATACTATATTTACACGTGAAAGTTATTGGGTAAATTGTGCATTTAGTACGTTAACTATCAGTTTTGATTCAATTTAGTACCAAAACTAATAGTTTAGGTACTAAACGTGTTAAGTTTTTAATGACAGGTATTAAAATGAAACAAAAACTAAACGTTAGGCACAATTTTAAAAAAATTAAAGTGCAAGTACTAAAATAGACAAAAACCGATAGTTTAGATACTATATGTATAGTTTACCCAAAAATTATTCTTCAATAGAAAATATAGTGAATTAAATTATAAGTACACAGATTCTATAAAAACATTGATTTGTTTTATTATATATATATAAGTACATGCTTAAATTATTTAGAAGTATTAATTTTCGGTCACTCAATCTTTAATCTCCATGTTTCCAAATATACCATTAATACACTTGTTGAAAGCAGAATTGTATGTAATTGTTCTGATGGAAACAACACCAACTTCCATGTCCCTCAAATGTATGATCTCTTTCTTAACCATGAAATTACTTAATCATTTACAATGAGTTTGATTCTTTTCATTTCCTTTTTCATTTGTGTGCATCTTTTCTGTAACAGATTGATAAAGGGTCACAGTTTGACTGGAATTCTACCATCTGAACTTGGAAATTTTACTCATCTGGAAGTGATGTAAGTTCAGTTGACAATCATAGGTTCATTAATTCATTAGACTTTAGTCTTAGCTCTTTTACCTATTCACTATACGCGACTGGGAAGTACTTAGCTCAGCTTCCATCTTTGAACAGTGATCTTACTCGCAACTATCTTAATGGATCGATTCCTTCAAGTTTATCTCGGCTTCCTCTCACCATTTTGTAAGTCATTTTTGTACCAGTTTTGTGCTTACCTAGTGTCATTTGATCATCCATCCATCCATCCATCAATGAAGTTGTAAAACTGTTTGGTCTTCTGTAACATTTTTCAGGTCACTTCTGGGGAACCGTCTTAGTGGTCCGATTCCTGGTGAAATTGGTGTTATTTCTACACTTGAAGGACTGTAAGTCATGCTGCATAAATCTGTCGAATCGACTAAAGAATTTTGTTATAGTATACTGATTCTTAATCGAATTGCATATTTAGGGTCTTGGAAGATAATCTGCTCGGTGGATCTCTACCTTCCAGCCTCGGAAATTTGGGCCGCTTGAGTAGACTGTAAGTTAATTTCAACAATGTTTATAGAGTGAATTCGGGTTCTACATTCTTTTCGATTTGTATCGTAACTGTCTACTTTTAGGCGCCTGCAGTTATCTTTCTTCGAACAATTTTACCGGCAGAATACCGAAATCATTCGGCAGTTTGAAGAACTTAACTGATTTGTAAGTGTTAGTACTTAATATGGATATCTGCATATTTCTAACAACATTAGTCCAAATCCTGACCTTTCTGAAATGTCTTTTTGCAGCCGAATAGATGGAAGTAGTCTGTCTGGGAAGATACCTGATTTCATAGGGAATTGGACTAAACTTACAAGACTGTGAGTACCAATCATATGTCCTATCTTTTTGCATCTCTTAATCATTTCATTGTTATTAACAGATTCTAAATCCCTTGCAGGGACATGCAAGGCACATCAATGGAAGGACCGATTCCTTCAACGATATCCGAGTTAAAGAGCTTAACTGATTTGTGAGTCTCCTCTCCTTAACAGGGATTTAAATAGCGTCCGCGACCGCGTTTTCAGTCGCGTTACGTTTATCGCGGTTGCGGAAATAACGGATGCTATCGCAGTCACTGTGGGTGTCGCGGTCGTGAATTTTTTTTAAATGTTGCACAACTTATGCTAAAACATAATAATTATATTATAATGAGTCATTTTTAATATGTTTATAATGTTTTCTAAACGAAAATGACATATATATAATATAGTTTAACCAAATAGAAGACTTTAAAACCCTGATGATAGGGTAAGATAATTAATGATAAGTTGATGACATTGTGAATACATTATTATTTAAAAGAAATAAGATGTTCAATCATTAAAGTAAGAACATAAAACTATGACATATAATAATTAAAGCCGCAACACGACTAAATTGAATAGAATTAAAATAAAAATATAAACTTAGGACTAAATTAAATAAAAATTAAAGTTTTTATTCTAAAATAAGGATTAAATTATAAATTCTAAAAGATATGAGGAATGATAAATTAATATATCTCTTAAAATATTTAAGAATTTATTTAAAAAAATTAAAAAAATAGAAAATGGGAAATAGGAGTGGACGACCCAAAACAATATACTTATTGTTTTTTGAATTAAGAATCCAACATAAAACCAAAAGAAATTACCAGAAGCTATTTTATATTTTAATATAATTCACACCAAGTCTTAAATCCCTTCTCACTTTCAAGATTAACCTTTCGTTTTTCACAGGAGGTGAGGAGCATACACTCTACCATATTCTTCACTAGCGATGAAATTCATAAGACTCAAATTTTTTCCTAAAACAACTTTGTTTTGTCGGCTTGTTCTCTTCTCGGTTTGATCTTTGCCTTGATGATCGGTGACTGGTGAGTCTTACCCGGTGAATCTTGCCGATGATGTGATTTTTATTTTTTGTTGTTGTAGAGTTTAAGAGCTTTTTTGAATGAGAATTTCAGTTTTTTTACGTTTTTTCCGATGGTGTGTTTTTTCCAGTTTGATCTTTGCATTTTTGGGTGAGAATTCCAATTTTTATTTTTTTCGGTAACTGTTGAAAAACGGTAATAGCGTTCAGTTATCGGCGCTATCCACCGTTACCCCCGTTAAATTGCGGCGCGATGGACCACTACCTGCGTGAATCCGTTACCCCCTTGTTCCTTTAGGAACTCATACTTGTCTAACTTAAAAACATTTTACTTTTTTTAAAGGGTAGATACGTTCCAAATGACCATGATAATGACAATGTGTGCATTTTGCCATTATGAAACTAGATGAATTATTTAAAATGATTTCCTTTTCTTTTGTTAAGTATTTAAGTTTAACTTTTAAATCAAAGCATTCTTTTTCAAAATTTTCAATTTTTACTTTTGAAAACTCTAAATCATTTTTCAAAATTTCATTTTGTTTTTCAAAACCCAATTTTGCTTTCAAAAAAAATTGTTTTCAACTATAAATTTTGAAATCATTTTCTTATGTTTGGAGTTCATGGTCTCAAACTCAAAAAATAATTCATCATATGCATCTTGTAACTCATTGAAAAATATGAATTAGATTCACTAGAGTTAGAAGATACCTTGGGCTCTTCAAGAGCCATTAAGCACACTACCTTTGGTGGTTCTTATTTCTTGTCACCATGAAGTTCTTCGAGCTTATTCCAAAGCTCATTGGTATTTGAACAAGAAGAAACACCTTCATAGACATCGGGACCAAATGCACAAAACAACATGTGCATGGTCTTGGCATTTTGTTGGGCATTCTTTTGTTCTTGGTCACTCCACTCCTTCGTCTTCTTCGTTAGAGAAGAATAGTCGTTCTCAATCATCTTCCATGCATCAAGATCATTGGATTGGATGAATAACTTCATTAATTTCTTCCAATGATGATAGTTAGCTCCAATGAAGTATGGAGGCTTGTCGATCGGTTGGGAGTCTTCCACGTGGAACGAGCCGGAGGTGGAAGCCATCTTCTCAGTTGTGTCGAAAATGGATAGAGCTTCTTAAAGGATCGTCTTAAGGTTGTTAGACTTTCTAATGAGTCAAGCTTTGATACCAATTACTGGGCTCGATGAAGCTTGAGTGATCAAATGAAAATGTACCAAGAGGGGGTAAATTGGTAATTTAAAGTTTATGGAGTAAAGAGTAACTTTTACAATTCCCTAGTTTTTCACTTGGCTAAACTAGAACCAAAACCCCTTTACAATGGTGAATAATATGTGTAAACAATAAGACCTCTAAAGATTGGTGTTTACAAAAAAACAAAACCTAAGGATATACAATTAAGCTCAAAACACAAATATTTACAAGAGAAAGAAAATAAGGATTGAAAAGCTTTTCTTTTGTGTTTCAATGCTTGGATAGGTGTTTTTCTCCTTCTTCAAGTGTCTTAAACTTGTTTATATATGTTGGAATGAGTTACTAGTTGTTTCTAGTCGTTTGGGAAGGTTTGGAGCCGTTGGAAAACTTTCTGCACACAAAGTTTTGAAACTCTTCAAAAGAGCCGTTGGAAAAATTTGACCGTTGGACACAAAGTATCGAAATTTAGGTAAAGTTTCGAAACTCTTGAAAAATATCGAAACTTTTTGGGAAACTGTCTTGGAAAGTTTTGAAACTCTTGTAGAAGTTTCGGAACTTCTAGTCAAAATACTCATTTTAAGGTTTTGATTGGACTTTGAATTATTTTGATGAAAACTTTGAATAAATTCAATATAGTCCAAAAACATTTTGCCCTTATTTGTTATATCAAAATATTAGTTCTACATTATTTTATATGGATTTATTAAATGATATTTTAAATGATTTTGGGTATGAATTTACTCAATACATTTTATATGAATTTTATTACATGATATTTGAATGTTATGAGTATGAATTGCCCAATACAGATTTTACTTATGAGATTTTGATATTTTCTATATGAATGAATTTATAGGAGAAATGGTATAGTTTATTGCATGGTTTTGAATAAGTGTGAAACGATTTATGATTTTAATAAAACCACAGTGTATGTGACTTGTGAGTTAGTGAAACAATTGACATGCCATGAGGTGGAGAGTTATTGATCAATCACACAGGGATACATTCATGTACAACATAATTACCAGATACATTTATGTATTCGGGATTCATAGGTACAATGTTGTTGTGTTCTACAGTATCTATACTTTCACAGTGCACCTATGGTGCAATCACAGTTACAAGGCACTAAATGTGACATCACAATTACAGGGCACTAAATGTTCCATACAGATATAAGTAGTTTATACTACACACAACATAGAACACTCAATCATAGAATCGGTACCATGTATTTCATGAATTGTAAATTGTGCTATAAATGATCTAAAAAGAATAGTACATGAAAAAGAAACAATAGAAGAAAAAAATAATATGGGTTTGATTTTATATTTTACAATAACATTTTATTTGCATTATTTATTTTATAAATTATTTTATACGATGTTTTATTTTTATTATTATAGAAATGTTTATTTAGTTAACCTAAACGTTTCACTAAGTGAAAACTTAGCATGTTAGTGTTTCACTAAGTGAAAACTTAGCATGTTAGTGTTTCACACGTAGGTACAAGCGAAAAGGAAAAGTAGAGAGCGTATCAACATCATTTATTAGGAATCAAATTTACCTCCAGAATTGATAAGGACATCGTACATCATACAATGTTCCTTTTTAATAATTGCTCTGATATGAAATTTATTTAGGTTGTAAATATTTTAAATATATAAATTTTAAGTATAATAAGTAGAAATAATAAATAGTATTTTAAAAAAAATCATGGTTTAAAAACTAATTAGAGAATTTTTAAATTAGGTAATTTTATGCAGTATTATTTATGGTATAAAACAGTTTTGAACTGCTAGTTGGCTGCCTAAAAACGAATCCGATTTTAACATTAAAATGTTAAATTGTGATTTTACATAATTATTAGATCTAAACAAAAAAGTGATTTGGAAATGTTAAAGTAACAAAATTTCACTATTTTTTAATAGTAAAAGTTTTATACGATTAATATGTCATCTTTGACTCGTATACGGGTATAGATATTTGTTAAGGTTATTACACATTCCCTCTCACTTTCTATGGTTTAATTGCGTTTTAAGTCACTGTAATTTTAAAATAAGTGAAATTAAGTCTTATTACCTTAATATTTCTAGTTTAATAATTTTTTAGGATGGTGTCAATTTAGAAATTAAGTAAATTAAACCCAGGAATCGTCAAGGAATTATAAAACAAAAGCCGGCCGAAATACTGCAGTTGATTTGTACCAACCACAAATTCCATAGTATCACACTGAAATATTTTCAAACCAGCCTAAATTTGAAGTGATTTTTGTTCCAATTACGATGACTTAGCCAACATGAAGCGTGAAGCAATCCGTCTCTGAACTCGGCTATATATCGTACCTCGAAATCCATCTAAAGCCCTCAAAACCAAGCGATATAGGTTACTTGGGGCCGGGTCCAAATATGGCTCGTTTATGCGTTGCTTGCTTATATTGTCTTTGTTTTGATCTATCAGGTACCATATATGCAATCTAGGAAGCTTTTCCATGCTGAGATGGAAGCACCAGTCATTTCCCCAAGGATAATTTGGTTCCAAGCGATTTTCCCGTGAAGTCTCCAACTGATAATGATCACGTAATGGCTTATAATGAAAGGGTTTTTGCTGCTCATCTTGCTGAGATTGATCGAATATTGCAGTCGGTACCAAGTCCTGGAGGTGGCCACTAGCTACACTCATTGTCACTAAACTATAGCCCTTGAATTCAGTATATGTTTGGTTTATCATACTCTTCTGTTGTTGCCTGCAAGTTTATCTGCAATATTAATTATAATAATGTTTAGATGTTTGTTGCAATAAATGATGCCAGTGAGATTCAGTGTAGAAGCATTTCATATAAAATGCTTAATTGTTGTCTGCAGAATCTGTCAAATCATAGTTAAGATCAAATTAAAGGGTTAAATTCCACTGAAC